CTCCCCACGGTACAAAAAGGCACTATGCCAACATTTTATTCCCTGCGGACCCTGACATGGGCAGCGACGGGGAACGGTGTGTAAGCGGGGGCTAGAAGTGGGAGCAGCGGAGCAGCTAGGGAACGAGGTGAGTGCGGTAGCCGCATAGGAGGACATGCAGGGCCCGGGGCGTGGAGGGAGGGACGTGGAGGGTGGGGAGAGGGGGACAATGGAAGAGTCCAGGAGGGCGGGTGGGTCTGTCAAGTGCCCGAGGGGTGAATGGCGGGCAGGCAGAGGGATGTAGCCTCTTGGCAGTCCCTCCATTATCGCTCTTGTGGCGGCGTTTTCAAAGCCCAGCTCTCCTCGGCAGCATTCATCACTTGCCATGCGATGAGACGTGCATTGCCTCGTTCTAGCTCTATAGAAGGCAACGCCGTCATTCGGCGCACAGACCTCGCAGGTGCGACAGGTGTGTGTTTATAGTTACCTACACTGATGCGAATCCATAATGTCACTCATATTTTCAATTTAATATCTCTACGTGAAAAACAATTTAATTACGAAAAACCCTTATCTTCAATAATATAGTAAGGCAACAAAAAATTGAAGTCTTACAATTCTTGAAAAGTCACAATTCAATGAAAATGAATGACACGGTCAATTTTTAAGGATTTTTGAATCTATCCAACAAAATGAGGCATTTTTGAAAACATTCTTAAAGACTTCATTAGTAAGTAAAGCGATTTCGATGGCGTGTGCCGATTGTAGGTTACTCGAGGCGGAAACTCCCGTTCGTAGCGACCATGCATTGCTTTGTCTATAGCTTTGGACTCAATGATTTACGTGTGACAAATCCACGGTCTGTATACTACAAATTGAAGTGCAACTTCTCGGTCCAAAAGGGAGTTTGCGACGATGTACGATTCACATTTTTTTATCACATTTCACACGAACCACAAGCGAGCGCGAACTAAAAGAATGATAAGCAAGGGAAACTTCTCTTTAACCTTTTCTCTACCAGTAAACTTACACAAAACAAGTAGTACGAAGAATAAATGCGCACTACGGCAAGTTATTTTTTCAAAAAGAAATGGGCTAAAGAGAATCGAGTTAACTTTAGATTCTTCTATCCAGTACGTACATTATGAGAGGAATACATTCGAAAGCAAGTAAGTGAGCAACATGCGAAGGCGAGTGTATGTGTGTGGTGATGCGCGGACATGCGCGGGAGCACAGGAGGCCATGCTTAGGGGCAGAAGGTCATCAATCAACTAGGCCACACGCCCCCGCCCCCTCCCTCTTCGCTCAAAGGCAGCAGCCAACGCCGACCGACCACTCCACGCCATTCACTCCTTCACCGCGCATTTACATTACTCCGGCACCAGGAGCCGTCCATGTATTAGCTTTAACTTCACCTTACAACACAACTCAGAGCGCGGTCTGTGAGTGCGTGAGTGTGTATGTGTTGGGGTTCTCGGCCGAATCACATACTCTTCCCCTTCTTGAGTTCTGATGACAGTACCATAAGATACCTTCAACTAAGAGCATCCAAATTCACTACCAATTTCGCATCTGTGACCTTCTGGAGGGAGGCAGAATTTCGGTTACCCTAACCGCTTCATCGACCAATATTGAATGTATTATTCAATTTATTTCATTTTCACGAGTTCTTGGTACTTATCACTGCTCTTATACCTACCCCTCTTTACAAAATAAACCTATATTAATGAGTATTTTTTCTGTAACACTAAGACGAGTTTTTTTACTGATTTAGGAAAGAAAACAATGATTTAAATAATACAAATGTGTACTTTTAACGATGGATAGGTTGATAAAATTATTTCCTGAACTTTGGAAAGGGAATATTAATGTTCTTTATTAATATATTAAAGAATTTACTATATTATAATATTAAAAAATCACAAAAATCTGAGAGTATGCCCATTTATTTTTTCTCAATAGTGTTCTACGTATTATATCACTCTCTTCATTTCCATTTCTTGATTTTTAACATATAAATCTCGACACGTGCGGAAGGAAATCTTTTTAATGTGCGAGAAGAGGCCTGTGACCTCTAACCCTCACGCCGCCAGGCGCAATGGAGCAGCGCGAGGAGAGGTCGGGGAAGGGCCATTAACCGCCCGGCGCGCCCATCGCACAGCTTCACTGGCGACGCGCTCATTTCTGCATAGCCTCGCCCGCCCGGCGCTGCAGCGGAGGCTGAGGCAGCGCTGGGCGATCGCCAGGCGGGACACGGAGGGGCCTCAACAAATTGCACTGGATCCAACTCAGAACAACGCTTAAGTAAACTACGCAAATAAAAACGGACATTTCACGCGAAACACGCAAATAGACTCCTCCGGCGAGGATCTCATGCACGCTCTTCATGCTAACAGAAATTCAAATAGAATTACACGCACTTGAAAACAACTCGAATTTCTTAAGACATTGGAACTCATTTTTCAACAGAATTAATCCTCCTTGAAAGTTTTTGGTTTGAAAGGCAACATGTACTTGGATACTTGTGAGTTCTCCTTTGTGTTTACCGTAGAGGATCTCGCCTTTTCAAATCCGTTACCGCTAGTAATTCAGATTTTGAGACAACACTTTATTGTAATAAATTCAACCTGTGTAGATATGATCTTCCGGGCGAGTCTACGATGATTTATTCAGCCGTATTCGTAACAGTAACTGGGAAATATATTTTGAAGACAATAATGCAACAACCTACTTGTCAAATGGCCTCTGTGAGTTCGTTCGGATCCGTGTGCAGTAACACTCTCGCCAAGTGGAAGGACTTGTAAAGAGCGCAACGCGAGGCGGCTGGCCTCGCGGCGACGGAGAGCAAGGGGGCCATCGGCACCAGCGCACTCAAGGCTACGGACCACGGCACGGATGCTCATGACATCTCGTCTCTTCATTGGGGCATTGTAGGCGTAGCTAACACGTAAATCAAGGTTTACCATGTCCGACATGTCATAGAAATGTGGACATTGGATATTTTTTGTAATGCTTAGCCATTTTTGAGTTTTTAGGTCATTTGTCGATTCTTGGCGTCGGTTTTGAATGACCTACAAAAACCAAGCTTTTATTGTATCGTCAGTTCATGACGAAATGCATAACTGCAATGTATTCTGTTCGAACTCTGAAAATTACACGGATCTTCTGTAACTTCGTATACCTTTCAAAACCCGCGATTGGAAGATCAGAGCTAAGAATTACTTCTTCTCTTAAAATTAAGACACTATATTTGTTGGCACATAAGCAGGCAAATAAATTCAAGTTTAGCGCCATTCTTGGAGCTCATTCAGATTGCCACGAGCAATTTCGTAGCAACCGTGCAGAGAAGCTAAGTAATACGCGTATTGGGCACATTGCACTTTGGTTGTACGTTGGCAGCACGGAGTGTAGTCTCCGCGTACCAGCGCTTCGAAAAGCGGCAAAATCAGCAAAACAGCAGAAAAAGTGAATAACGTAAGGAGAATGTTTATTTTATCCATGACAATCTCTTCAATACTTAATGATTCTTACGGTCAGGTGTTAATCTAGTCAATTATGTGTCTCTTTTGAATTTACTCGTCT